TTTGCCACTGGACTGTGCTGAACTTTAGCAAGATACCGACAATACATGATCATCCTCTTCCTTGTTCAAAATTTTATCCACATTTACTTTATAGTTCTATAACTGTACTAAATTATCAACAATTGACTCATTTGTGTCCATTTTTATTGCTCCTAAGAAAGAAACAAGGCAAAGTCGACACTTTATTAAAAGCTGTGATAAAAGTCAACTAGTCCCTTGAGCTATGAAATAGTAACCTCTGAGCAAATAGATTTTCCTCTGAAGAAAAACAAAACAAAAATCAAGTAATTTGTCATGAGAGTCACTTAGATACTAGAGTATCACATTATTGGGCAAGCTTTTCCCCTCCTATTATTTATTTAATGAATAATAATAATTGTTACCAATTTTGGCATTTCACCCCTTCTAAATAAAAAGAACATTCTTTCAGAAACAGAATAAAGAGGAGATGGACCATCTGATAAATTAATGAAAGAAATCATAACACTCAACATGGTGGTTGTAGTAAAGAAAGTCCAGCCTGTCAGCTAGGTGTTTGTTTATTCTAGGATTATGTTACAATTGGCCCTGTGATAATGATTATGAGATTGAAAGGCCTAAATTAGACGTGAGTTTCCCCCCCAAGTCAGTTAATGGGGTAGTTCACTCAATTTTTGTTCCAAACTTGTACTTGTTCCAAACCTGTAAGAGTTTCTTTGGTTGAACACAAAAGAAGATATTTTGAAGAATGTTGTTAACCAAACAGCTGACGGTAGCCATTGACTTCCATAGTATTCGTTTCCGTACTATGGAAGTCAATGGCTACGTCAACTATTCGATAACTAACATTCTTCAAAATATCTTCTTTTGTGTTCAAATGCATAAATTAGTGACTGTGATGAATTGATTTATTTACTCTAGAGAAATGGAAGGTAGGTTTTTTGGTTTGTTTTTGATAGTCTTGACTTTGACATAGGGCTGTGCAAATAATCGAATGCGATTTTCATGCGCACCTCGTCAGTAAAGCCGGTTCTGCGATTAGTAGTAAATCTCCAGCACGTGCTTTCAGATGGAGCAGCATTTACTACACAGACCCGTAGATCACTGAAAAGCTATGCAAAATCGCGTTCATAATCGGCAATGAATCGCCTGCGATTTTGAACGCGATATTGCGTAGCTTGTCAGTGAACTACGGCTCTGTGTAGTAAATGCCGCTCCATCTGAAAGCATGTGCTGGAGATTTACTACTAATCACAGAACCGGCTTTACTGACGAGATGCGAATGAAAATCGCATTCAATTATTTGCACAGCCCTACTTTGACACTGATTTTTAGTTAATGTGTCCAGTATAATGCTGAAATATCTACTCTGTTTGTGCATTTTATGATGTGATCCTTTCACATGTGTGTGTTTTCACACACATTGACCTGGGCTTGCAATCTCAAAAATTGCCATGGTCAAAGCAGTTTTCCTGTTATAAATCTCCTTACACATACTGAAGTTGAAGGTTTATGTGTGGTACATCCATGTGTGTGTGTGTTTGTGTTGTGTAAATTGCTTATTTGTGTTTTTCTTGTTTCATTTTATGGGATTTTCACAGATGTTTTTCCCCTAATCCAAAAAACAGGCAAATTGCCGCGTAAACCTCTTGCTGGTGTCATTCATGTCAAGTGCTAATTTGAATGATTTGTTTGGCCTCTTATTAAATGTTACTGCTTCCCTGCCCATTAGAGCAGGCACCTTATAACTCTGCTGACGGCAGCTCAAAAACACTTGGCCTCACGTGAACCTGTGGCGTTCGTAATAAACATAATGTCCATGGCGCTCTGGTAATTTGGCAGTGTTGATTTGTTAATCAGCAGAGAAGGGCTTGCGTTTCTCTCGGGGAACGAGTCCAATGTAAATGCAAATAATGAAGGCTTTGTGTATTTTCTCTCGCTCATGTTGGCGCTTTATGACTGGTGTACGTGTGTGTCTGTTTGTGTAGTTTTGGAAAGCTGTGAGATTTGGGGTTTCTCTCTATTAGTTAATGCACATGCCCATGTGTAGCTTTGTGGGTGGTTTGTAGTTTACAATATAGGTGGATGCACATGCAGGTTTCGTGTGCTAGAGTGCATACATGGCTTTCTTTGTGGCGGGGTTTGTCTGAAATTAATTAAGGGGTGTAACAGTAAGCAGAGTTTAGCTGTTTTCAAATTAATTAATTCACACACAGAACTGGAATGACATTAAAGTATATTTTAGTTGACTATAAATGCTTGTCAGTACATTCTGCAGTACACATCTTCAAAACTGTATTTCAAAGACAATTATGAAATTATGAATGAAGATGTCCGACTTAAAGAGGGTCAAAAAAACAAAACAAAAAACTAACATTCAGCTAATTGCATTTAATATAAATTTAAACTAGAATACACGGTAACACTTTATTTCGATAGTCCACTTTAGACATTCTATTAACAGTAAGTAACTTTGCAACTACATATCAACTAGCAGTTAGTAGAGTATTAGTAGACTGTCTGCTTAATATCTTCTAACATTTTCTTTGTCAACATTCTACTAACCCTAAACCTACCCCAACAGTCTACTCTGAGAGTTAGTAGACATGTAGTTGCAAATTAATGAGAATTAGTTGACATGTAGTTACAAAGTTACTTATAGTTAATAGAATGTCTAAAGTGGACTATCAAAATAAAGTGTAACCGAATACATTTACATTCAATTTTAATTAAGATGTAACTAAACATTATATTCAGTTCACGCTCTTTTAAAAAGTATTCTAAAGTGTACTTCTGTTTCACAAAGCCCCCCAGAAAGGATGGGCTCTTTTCACTTGGCCCCAGAGTATCATAGAGTGTACGTACTCTCCGTTACTAAACGGTCAAGAGACATTCAAGGTGAACAGAAGTCTAATCCACTCAGAGAAGCAAGCACCTTGTGTTTGTCTACAGCTGTCCTCTGAGGGAGGAAACATATCTGGCCTATTTTGCTCATTATCAGCTGCTGCAATCATTCGCCACCAGAACACCGTGAGCCTTTCCTCAAAGCCCAGCGCTAACTGAACAGGTTTTGGTTACATTGTCTCAGCACAACTTCATCCCTCATGACATCTCAAATGGTTCAGCTTGGATACAGAGCCTGCCTCCTCAGGCCGACACAAGATCAGATGTCTCTTATCTCAGACCTGACCTCAACCACCAGCAGCCGTTGGTTCAAAGTGACAGCTGAGGAGTGTGTTGCAATTTTACAAACAATACTAAACTGGCACTACGATTGCATAAGAGTTTTCAGGGTGTAGAAAGAGCTGTGTCAGATAGACAGCGTAGTGTGCGTTCTCTGTTGAAGAAACCATCATGTTTTGAAGCATGGCAGCTGATTTAAGCTGGTCCTTAGTTGGTCATGAGCTGTTTTAAGCTGGTCCTGAGCTGGTTATAAGCTGGTTATGAGCTGGTCTTGAACAGGAGTTAGTTGCTTAGGACCAGCTTAAACCAGCTCAGGATCAACTAAGGACCAATTTAAACCGGCTCAAACCATCTGCCATGCTTCAAAACATATCTAATTAGCATATGCTGTTTTTTTTAACAGGGTTAGTATCCCAAACCTGGCTTGTTCTGCACTGAAAGATCAGAGAGCTCACATTGACCACTGTTAGGAGGTGTTTGAGCTATACTGGAAGCTAATGGGGAAATTAATGGGGGCTTGGGGTCATCCCAGCCTGCAAAAACTCACTTCAGGGAGCCGCTATCAATATGTGAGAGACTCCCAGACTTTTTGGAGGAGGTGGGATGTATAGTGAAAGTGAAGTGACGTGTGGTCAAGTATGGTGACCCATACTCGGAATTTGTGCTCTGCATTTAACCCATCCAAGTGCACACACACAGCAGTGAACACACACACACCGGGAACACATATATTTTATAGTATATTATAGTTTATTATATATTACAGTCAGGGCAGTTGGCATAGGCCACAACTGGCCTAATGGTTAGAGAGTTGGACTTGTAACCCAAAGGTCGCAGGTTCGAGTCTCAGGTCTGGCAGGGATTGTTGGTGGGGGGAGTGAATAAAATTATATTATTATTATTATTATTACTCATGCACTCGTATGTATGTATATATGAGTACATGAGTAAATATGTGACCGGCTACAGTCTTTATTTATTTATTGTGATTTACTGTTTTCTACATAAAATCATAATTCATATTGTAAAGAACATTCTGTGTGAAAAAAAAAAGAAAAATCCTAGATATTTTTAATATTGACTGAGTAAGGCTATTACAAAGATTGAAATCATAGTGAAATTAATAGTTGAAATCAAACTTTGATGCTTGTTATCTAATAATTATATTTTGAGACACAAAGTACCATCTCTTATCACATGTACATCTGTATGTTATGAAGTGCATTACTGAATATAAAATTACATACATTATGATATATAAGTAAATATATTGTCACATAATTTTTCAATATATGAAAAGCAGCAATTCCTTTTGTATTATTCAATATATTGTAATATATTAACACAATATATTATTATGCATATTTTTTAATAAACCGTTAAATCATTTAATACATTGATCATTCATATATACGGAAATATATTTTCTGTGCGTAAGGGAATATACTGATCATAAATATATGGAAATATATTTTTGTTCTATAAGGGCAGTAATGGGAGACGTTATTTGCTTGCCATAAAAATACATAGATGTATCAAACAGAACTGTACATTCACTTACATACATACACATAATTAAACACAGAAATAAAAACATAGGCTATAGAAACATGGCTTTTGTTAATGTTGATTGCATTTAATTGGTAACAGCCTATTGTATTCTGATTGATTTAATGAATTAAAAAAATACAAGTATTTGGCATAAAAGAATCAAGAGCAGATGGCAAATATCACCCCTTAATGCAAAAGTACGTCCTGATCCTGCACAGATGTGTGATGGTTTTTTGCTTTTCATATATATATATATATATTTTTTATTTTATTTTATTTTTTCACAGGGAGGTTGAGTATGGTGGGATATACACATACCAAGTCCAAACCATCTCCAGTCGGAGCGAGAGTGAATCATCACCTCCACTGACACACCGTCTTGGAGCGCCGTACTGTGGAGATGGTCTCATCCAGAGGTAGGTTCGGATGTGTTTCCAAAGCCTTTAGAGCAGTAGACCTTAACCGGGGACCGGGGCCCACTGGAGAGCCTCAGCAAACTTCCAAGGGTGCTGCATGATGACTTTCAATGATTTAAATGAATATTAAAGTTAAAATAAAATATGTCCCTTTGAATATTGTGTCGCATAGTGGTGAGCCTTCGAGAACTTTAAATTACTGAAATTAATGTATTGTTAAAAATATGATATTTAGAAAATGAATAGTACATTTTAATAATCTAAATTAAAATAGAAAAAAGCATGCAAGATGTAAAGCAGTGCTATTTTGGTATCATTAAAAAGATGCTATTATAAAGTTTATTAATAGTTTTCACTTTTATAATTTCTGTTTTCAGAAAACTTAAAAAATAATTTAGTTGAATGTTTTTGGGATTTTTATTAGCTTATGATTTTTTTTCATTGTCTATATAGTTTGTATCATTTTTTTAATTTCAGTTTTAACTTGAGTTATTATTAATAATTTTAATTAATTGATTAATTTGATATATAATATATGAATATAAACTCCAACATATCACGATGTAACATGTTTCTTTTTTCCTCTCAACTATTGTTGTTATTGAAGAACATGCAGTTCTTGAAAAATCCGGAGTCACAAATTGGTTAATTAATTTACCTAGATGACACTCCCAGAATATGTTAATTTATATTGCATTTATTGCTTGGTTAATATTATATTTCATAAGGGGCCTTTGAATATTGTGTTGAATAGTGGGGGTCGAAAAGGTTGAGAAGCACTGATTTAGAGGATCATCAGAATAACCTTGAGGCTCGACCGCACTGCCACAACAAAACTTTTTAAAGTTTTTGGAAAGTATACTGCCATATCCACACTGCAGGCTTCAGATGTTCATGCTTTTAGCAGCACAGATTCATGTCCACCAAGGGAAATCATCATTATGTTTATTACGTACGCATTGATTTATTTCAGGTCCCAGGGAGAGGAATGTGATGATATGAACACTATGAATGGAGACGGCTGCTCCGGCCACTGCAAGAAGGAGCCGTTTTTTAACTGTATTGGTAAGTGTGGAGAGAAAGCGTAAGTGCATCAGCAGCTCATTACAGCCATCTGTCATACAGCTACGACTGTGCGTCGGAAAATGTACATCACTGCTGTACATCAGTTTTGGTCGACGGTTTTGCGAGACGTGTTATCGTCTCACTCTGAAAAAAGAAAACATCTTTAAGAGCAGCACTTTAGCTGAGCTCTTTTATTCGCTCCCTCCAGAGCCAAAGCTATTTTATCACTAGCATTTTGACATCCTTGTAAAATCTGCAACACGTTTAATTCAAAACGAACACACTAACAAATTCATGAAGGATGCTTTGGCACCTTCTCTCGCTCTGTAGTTTTAATAATAGAATGAGTTCCGGACTCCGTTTTTATGGTCCGAGCCTGAGGAAAGATTACGTCATTGAAAGACAGCGGTAGGATATTTTTGTTTACTGTTAGAGACAAATGAATAGAGCCTCATAAGTCTGAAATAGACACTTATACTGCTCATGATATAGCGCACGTCTATGACAACTATTCAGAGTACAGCAGCTTGGCTTGCAAGCCATGTTAGACCAACAGCAAACTTATAACCGGTGAGTAAATGTTGTTACTAATTTCATATGCGAAGGGGTAAAGCAATCACAACCAGTGTTGGCGGTAACGCATTACAAGTTGCGTGAGTTTCCATAAAAAGTAACTAAGTAACGCAATTAGTTACTTTTTTAGGCAGTAACGCAATATTGTAATGCATGCGTTACTTTCCCCAACACTGATCACAACATCGACAACCGAATCGAGTTCCAAATAAAAGGCTTGTTACAAAATGTAGTTATATATCTCCTGTTACACATTTGTACTTACACAAACCATTCGGAGGGTTGTTACATGTGTGTAGTTACAGAAATATTACAGCTCTAGATACTATGTACCAATGTGTACTTACACTGTGGTTACATACTGCGTACACATCTAGTTACTATGTAAGTACACAGGTATTAGGGCCATTTAATATAAAGTGGGACCACTTTCTTCAAAGAATCCTGAAAATTTTTTTATGTATCACGGTTTCCACAAAAACATTATAAAGCACAACTGTTTTCAACATTGATAATAATCAGTAATGTTTCTTGAGCAGCAAATCAGCATATTAGAATGATTTCTGAAGGATCATATGACACTGAAGACTGGAGTAATGATGCTAAAAATTCAGCTTTTGATCTCAGCAATGAATTACATTGGTAACACTTTAGAATAGGGAACACTTATTCACTATTAACTACAACTTTTCCCTCAATAAATTCCTAATTTGCTGCTTATTAATAGTTAGTAAGGTAGTTGTTAAGTTTAGGTATTGGGGATGTAGAATAAGGTCATGTAGAATAAGGCATTAATATGTGCTTAATTAGTACAATGGCTACTATTCTAGTAATATGCATGCTAATAAGCAACTAGTTAAGAGACCCTAATATATTCACATAGAAACCACTTTTAACAATTTTACTGAATTTTTTTGATCAAATAATTGCAGAAAACTTTTTTTTTTTTTAGTATATGATATGATCTTTCGAAGTTATGCATTCCACTTTAAGACTGCTAGTGATATACAAGCATTTTTTTTTATTTCTCAGAATATCAGACATTTACACATTTTTGTCTGAGAGTTTATTTCTACCATTTGCTGAAGGAATCACATCTGTGTGGCAGCTTGAAATCTTTGTGTTTTTGTGTGGAACCATCAGGGCACCATCATGAAGGAAGCGTTTGTCTTTCTGACTGTGCAACTGATTGTTTTGTAGCTGTAGTCTGTTGAACCAAAAGACAGCATTTGGTTTTCCTTATCTCAATATAGTGTTATCTGTGTTAGCATTAGAATCGAGTTGCCCAAGGAAGGTGCAATTGATCGTCTTATCGTATCTGAGGAGTGTAACGGTGTCATGGGTACAGTGTGGCACAGACGTGCATACATGTATGGATGTAGGCTGTGCAAAGGCCATGTGAACGATATGTAGGTGTGTGTGTGTGTGTATGTGTGTTTATTCCCTTCTGCAGCCCCTCATTTCAACATCAGCAGAGCTAAGCAAAGGGGAGAGCTGGAATTTATGCAGAGGCTCAAGCCAACTTGGCACGGCAAGCCTTCGTCCTCCTTGCTGGAACCCCTTACACTGAGATACAGACAGAAAGAAAGACAGTCTGTGTCTCTTTATCACTAAACATATGCTCATTTTCACTATTTTTGACACTTTCAGTCTTAATCTGTACGGTAGTTAATTTTTCTTCATTATGTTTTCAACTGACATGACTTGGAAGTTGATTAAATTTGTACAAACACTTGACAATAAGGTTCCATTAGTTAGCACTGGCTAATGCATTACTAACAATGCATTAACTTACAATTAATGCATTAATAACAACGAGCAATACCTTTGTTACAGTATGTATTAGTCTTTTTGTTAATCTTATTTAATACAAATATGACTGTTCATTGTTAGTCCATGTTAGCTCAGGTCCATTAAATAATATTAACATATGCACATTTTGACATTTATTAATTAATTAATTTTTTTGTATTAGAAAATCTAGAAGTTAATATTATTAATACATGCGATCACATGTTAGTTTGGGGACCAATTCTCACCATTAACCAACTATTAACCACGACCCCAATAAACGTCTCGGTTACGTATGTAACCCTCGTTCCCTGAAGGAGGGAACGGAGACGTCACGTCGGATGACCGACGAATTGGGAT